GTCCTCCCGGCCCGGCCCGCACCGCCCGCCCGCGGCCGCCGCGCCGCGTAACCCCCCGAGCCGAGCCCTGCTCGCGGAGAGAGAGAGAGAGAGAGAGAGCACCGCGGAGAGAGGAGAGCGAGGAGGGACGGACCGCCCGCCGCCCCCTCCCCGGGCCGGCACAGCCGCACCGCCGGGACCTCGCTGCCCCCCGGTGAGTGCCCGCCGCCCCCCGGGCCCCGCCGCTTTGTTGCGCCGTCGGCGGGCCCGAGGAGAGCCGGCGCCCCCGCAGCCCGGGCGCAGGCCCCGCTCCCCGGGGATGCCGAGCGGCCGGGCCGGGCTGGAGGAGGGGGCGGCGGCGCAGGTGCCGGGGGCGGCCGATCATTGTCAGTGCGCCGGCACCCCCCCTCCGGCCCCGGTGCAGGGGCTGCGCCAGGGCCGCGGCGAGGGGGGGCCCGGGGGAAGCCCGGGGGTGGCGAAGGAGCCCCGCGAGCGCTGGGCCGCTCCGGCCGCCTTTGTTGTGGCTGGGGCGGGCGGTTTTCCCGCGGGAGCCCCGGCGGGGTGCGGGAGGGGCCCGCCGGCCCCAGCCCTGGGGAGGCCTGCGGGGAGCCTGGGGGCTCGCCCCGGCCGCCGCGGGCCCTGGGCAGATCACAGGCCCTGGGTCGAGTCGGCTTCCCCCTCCCCAGCCCGTTTTATTTTGATTTTTCATGCGGGTGCTGGTTTTGGCGGCAGCCTCGAGCTGTCGACCCCGCGGTGCGGCAGGGACATTGAAGTTACAGAGCCCGACAGGTTTGTCCCCGGTGCGTCCCTGGGGACGGGGGAGTCGTGGCTCCTGGAGGGTTCGGAACATGGTGTTGGGGGGGTTTGCGGGGTTGCTGAAGTAGCCGCTCCTTGTCTTGAGTGTGGTTTTCGCCCTGCAGTTCGGAGAGGTGGTCCGCGCAAATGGAGAGGTTTGCATGGAGACTAGTCAGTAGTGCTGGGTGCTGAAACCCTGTGTGATGTTCACCTTGAAATATTGAGACTGTAATTTCTAGCTGTGGCTGCATAGCAAAACACTTATGGAAGAAGTGCAAAGGACTAGATGTATTTATTTTGACCTATAGTTTCATGAATGATTTAACTGAATTTTTTTTGGCTAGCTAGAGTAACTTGCAAGATTTCAGTGTAGACCTGTGAGTCCTGGCCTTATTTTAATGACTGAATTTTGGTTTCTTTGTAATGTAGGTTTGTGATGAGGTCCATGCATGTCCACATATTGGACCATGAAATTTTACTACAAAAAACAAGTGGTGGGTTTCCTGTTAAGAGAAGTAATTTCTGCACGTTGTAGCTAACAGATGTTATTTTTCTGCACCAAAGCTGGGTTGCTCCCTGATGCCTGTGCATGCCTCTGTGCCCAGTTATGGCTGTACAGCTGTAGGATATTCCTGGGCTCACAGACTCCTATGGATCCAGTCAGGCTCTGCAGAGAACCAGCTTGATTGCATCCTTGGCACATTTTGGTGACAAGCTAGCAGTATCTCGAAGTAGGCTATGTGAACAAATTGTACAGTCTGTGTGAACTGACATTTCTGCAATATCTCACTCATCCTGTGCAATCTTGGTAGACATACAGCGTTTGAAGACATGAACTTACCTGCTGTGGGAG